GGAGCGTTTGCTGCATGCGGAAGCAGCAGCTTCGGGGCTGGATCTTTCTGGTTCTGCGCCTTCTTATTTGAAAGAAACAGAAAAAGAAAAAAGAATGCGAAAAGACATGGGCGTGGGACTTTTTAACTTCTGGCGGCTGCTGCACTTCTGGAGGGTTCACTACATACGAAGGTGCGCGAGCTGTACATACACCCCAAACTTTTCGCACTTTTTTCCCCTTCTTTGGCCCGAATTTTCACTTCAAGTGATTCAAAAAGGCTTTTAATTGATTAATAATGCATTTTAAATTAATTTAAATGCGTTTTTGACGCCAATTCCGCACTCAGAGCTTTCCGTTCTCTTGACTTGTGCACTGCGCTCGGGTGTACGTACACCTCAGGAGAAAGGACGCCCGCGGCCTGGAATTTGCCTGTCAAATTCCTCTGCATTACTGGCACGAAGTGAGCCTTTGTCTTCAATTACTTTTAATTTAATTTAATTTAATTTAATTTAATTTTGTTTTATTTTGCTTTATATCCAGAGAACTCTCTTCGTGCTGCTGCTGCTCTTGCTGCCTTTGGGTCTGCCTTTCGGTCTTGTTGCCGCTGCTGCCGTTTGCAAGTGTACCATCTATATGTAATATATAAATAATATGAATGTATATATTTATTTATATCTTTATTATATCTTGTAAATATATATGAGGATATATATACATATATGTCTGTATATACACACAAATATACATACATATATATATATATATGTATATTACTATATTTATATACATATATATGTATATATATTAAGTGCATATATTTATATATATATTCACAATGCCCATGCGTGCATATGTGTGTGTATTTATGTTTATTTATATAGATGCATTTAAGAATAAACACGGTTTTCTTTTGCTGCTCTTGCTGCAGCTCATTTCAATCCTCTGCGCCCCTCCAGAGGAGCCCACGAGCCTCGCCCACCCTCTCCCCTGACTGCAGCAGCAGCAGCAGCAGCAGCGGCAGCAGCAGCAGCGGCAGCAGCAGCAGCAGCAGCGGCTGCAGCAGCAGCAGCAGCTGCTGCTGGAGAAGCCGCTACTGCTGCAGCAGCAGCAGTAGCAGCTGCAGCAGCAACAGAACAGTGAATTGTTTAAATTCGTGAAAGATGTTTTTTAGTTAGCAACATAACAAAAAGAAAAAAAAATAGAAGTGAAAAGAAGCCCGTGGCTTCTCTGGGCGAGAGCCTTCGCGGGGTGTACAGACAGCTCGAACGTTCTGTTCAACAAAAACCCTTTTGTTATTTCTTTCATTTTATAAAAAGTCTCCTTTTCTCCAAATCCAACTTTCCTAAACTTCCCCATTTCCCTCACAAATCTTCAAACTCCAATCTTCTTCAAAATTGCATTTCATAATTAATTATAATAATAGTAGTAATAATTAATAATAATAGTAATAATAATAGTAACAATAATAATAAAAATAATAATAGCAATAAAAGTAATAATGATACTATAACATTAGTAACAATAATAAAGATAGTAAAAAATAATAAATAGTAATAATAATAAAAATAATAATAGTAAGAATAATAGTGAATAATAATAATAATAACAAATAGGCTTCTATCCAAACAAGTTTTAATTTTCGGAATAAATACTTTTTAAAGATTTGCTGCAGCAAATCTCTGGTGCAGTGCTGCTGCCAACTTGTATATTTATATACATATATTATACTAGTATATATATATGTATTATACATATATATGTATATTGGGTGAATAATATACATTTTATATATAAATTGGGTTTATAAACAAAAAGATCAAAAGAACCGGCGCATGCATTCCCGCGGGTGTACGTACAGCGGAGGGAGTGTGGAAGATGTCTAAAAAGGTCACTTTTTGACGAATTTTAGTTTTATTTGTTGCAAATTTTGGGACTTCTAAAATGATTTAATAAACTTAAATGCATTTAATTCATTTAATGGATTATTTATTCGTTTTTTCCCGCATTTGGCCGACAGCCTTGCTGCGCCGCCAGCAGCAATGGCCCTACAGGCGACTTGCAGCGAAAAGGATTCATTCGGGATGAAATTAAATAAATTAAAGTTTTAATTTAATTTCTAAAAAAGAAATAAAGAAGTCTCTTTTTAAATGCTATTTATTCCAAACGACAAATGACAAATTGACTAGAAGTTTGGTTCTCGTTTGACGATGTGAGGTGTACGTACACCTCAGCAGCTCCGGAATAAACATAAAATTCACTAATAGTTCGACAGCTGCAAATGCAGCAGCAGCAGCAGCCTCTGCTGCTGCTGCTGCTGCTGCTGTCGTGTACCTGCGGAGCTTGCTACTGGACCTGCTGCTGCTTTCATGCTGCCTGCTGCTGTTGCTGCTGCTGCTGGAACTACTCAGGGCTTTGCTGCTGTACCTTATACAGAACCTGCTGCTGTTAGATTAGCTGCTGCAGCTGTACCGGCCCCTGCAGCAGCAGCAGCAGCAGCAAGACTCTCATCTGCTGCTGTTCTGGCGGCGAGAGAAAATATTAATGGTCGCGATGGGGCGGGGCTGCGGCAGCTCGCTGTAAAGTGCAGGTGCTGCTGCTGCTGCTGCTGCTTCTGCTGCTGCAGTAGAGGCCTCTAGGGCCTGCAAAAAAGCGCAAGACAGGCAGCAAAACAGTAAATGGAGCTGTACAGACACTGCAAATCTAGAAGCAAACTGCAGCAAAGTCAAATGATCCAAAAAGACCCACAGGACAGCAGCAGCAGCAGCAGAGCCAACAGCAGCAGCAGCAAGGATTCAGCAGCAGCAAGAACGACGAGAACGCAGGAGCCACCTCAACAGCAACAGCAGCAGCAACAGCAAGACACGTGTTCGTCCCCGCAGGCTCTGCGCTCAACAGCAGCAGCAGCAACAGCAGCAGCAGCAGCAGCAGCAGCAGACCTCAGCAGGGTCTGCGTAGCTGACGCCGGACTGCAGCGCAGCAAAGAAGGCCTCATTTGCTGGCCTCGAATGCATGCGGGTCCATTCGGCATTTGAAAGGCCCCAAATCTCTTTCGAACTCCCCACAGCAATCCAGGGGCTGCGCAGGGCCCGCGGAGCAGCAGCAGCAGCAGCAGCAGCAGCAGCAGCAGCGCTTTGCTGCGCCTCCGGCCCGCTGCGCACGCACGGCGGCATGCACGCCTGCACAGCAGCAGCAGCAGCAACAGCAGCAGGGGGGCTGGTGGCGCCGCGGGGAGAGGATGACTGCAGCAGCAGCAAGGGCAGCAGCAGACACAGCAGCAGCAGCAGCAGCAGCAAGTCACTTACTTTGAAGCACGCCCAGGTGGAAGATGCTATATTTGCTGCTCCATTAATTATGCCTTCTCTGTGCTTGTGCAGCAGCGCGAGAGCAGCAGCACCAGCAGCAAGAAGAGTCTCCAGCAGCAAGCGGGTGGTGGGCCAGCCTGAAACACAGCAGCAGCAGCAGCAGCAGCAGCGGACTGTGGGCGTGTCTTGGCGCCGTTGCTGCTGCTGCAGTCTACGCGCTGCCGCACTGAGGCACCTGCTGCCGCTGCGCACAAACAGCAGCAGCAGCAGCAAAACGAGCAGCAGCAAAACACGCAGCAGCAGCAGCAGCAGCTCACAGCCCTCAGCAGCATCGCTGCAGCAAGAGAAGCAAGCCTCGTCGAGGCCCTGCTCCCTCGCCTGCTCCACATAGCTGCAAATTGCTGCTGGGATTTCCTGGCCAAAAGTAGCAGCAGCAGCAGCAAAAGTGCTGCTGCGGCTGCGGGGCCCGCAGACGCTGTCTTCCTGCTGCAGCACCTGCATGCGCAGCAGCGAGCAGCAGCAGCAGCACTTCTTGTTTTCTTTGTTTGCAGCCAATGGAGAAGCAAGAGCAGCAAAACAAATCCAAGCAGCAGCAGCAGCAGCAGCAAAAGGAGCAGCAGCACTGCTGCTGCTGAATGTAGCCGCAGACCAGCCCCAGCAGCAGGCGGCGTTTAGCTGCAGCAGCAACAGCAGCAAAAGCCCCGCAGCAGCAACAGCAGCAGCAGCACTGACTGCAGCTGCCTGCGTACATCATCACAAAAATCACTGACAATGGATTTGCAGCAGCAAAGATCAGCAGTTTCGAGGGGAGGCAGTGCTGCTGCTGCAGCAGCAGTTTCCTCAGGCTCCGCAGCAGCAGCAGCAGCAGCAGCTGCAGCAGCAATGACATCAGTTGCTGCAGCCTCTTGCCGCTCCTCAGCGACAGTCCCTTCCTCCTCCTCTAGTTCGCCATCTGCTGCTGCTGTTGCTGCTGCTGCTGTTGCTGCTGCTGCTGTTGCTGCTGCTGCTGTAGCTGCTGTTGCTGCTGACACGGGGCTAGACAAGTTCGCGCGCAGCTGCTCCTGCTGCTGCTCTTGCTGCTGCTGCTGCTCTTGCTCCTGCAGCGTCCCTTCCTCTAGCTGCTGCTGAGCTTCTTGCTGCTGCTGAGCTTCTTGCTGCTGCTGAGCTTCGTGCTGCTGCTCTTGCGCCTCTTCTTGCTGCTGTTGCTGCTGCTGCTGCTGCTTGTCCTCCACTGCTTTGAGTGTCTCTTTTGCTTCTTGTTTTGCTTCACTCTTGGCTTCTTGCTGCTGCTCCTCTTTCTCTTTTCCTGCTGCTGTCGCTGTTGCTCCTGCTGCTGCTGCCTTTGCTGTTGCAGCTGCTGCGGCTGGCGGCAGGTCTTCAGTGCTCAGCGTGCTCTCCACAGCCGCAACCTCCAGCTCTTGTTGTTGCTGCTGCTGCTCTTGCTGCAGCTCTTGCTGCTGCTGCTGCTGCTGCATGTCCTCCTCTTCGGCTGTAGCAGCAGAACTTTTGCTGCTGTTATCTGCGCCGCATCCCTCTTGCTCGTCAGCTTCAGCGTTCCCTTCCTTTCCCTGCTGCTGCTGCTGCTGCTCCTGCTGCTGCTGCTGCTCCTCCTCCTGCTGCTGCTGCTGCAGTTGCTGCTGCTGCTCCTGCTGCTGCTGCTCCTCATGTGCTGCGGGCGCCGGCTGCAGATCAAAGGCCGGGGCATCCGGTTCCTCCGAGAGGCTGGTGGCGCAGCGGGTTGCTTCATCTGCTGCTGCTGCTGCTGCTGCTGCTGCTGCGTCTGCTGCAGCAGGTGCTGCTGCAGCGCGAGGCGAGAGCAGCAACTCATCCGAGTCAGGAGACAGCAGCCGATTTTTGCTGCGGCGGGAATTTCCGTTTTTGCGTTTTGGCATTTTGTGAAAAAAGAAATAAAATAAAGAAGAAACAAAACAGTTGCTGCTGCTGCCAAGAAGGCGCGAAGGTCTGCTGCTGCTGCGGGCCTTGCTGCTGCTGCGGGTCCGGTTGCTGCTGTTCTGCTGCTGCTGCTGCTGCAGCAAAGGCGCAAAAAGCAGCAGAAATCACGCGAAATGACCAAAAACTAAAGAAAAGGATTTAATTCAATACCTGGAATTGTTCAACAAACAAACAAATCCCAAAAAGAAAGAAATCAGCAGCAGCAGCAGCAGCAGCAGCAGCAACAGATTGTCTCCCTCGCCCGCCTGTGGCTCGCCCTGGCGCCTGCTGGCTCTTGCTGCTGCTGCTGCTGCAGTTTTGTCTGCTGCAGCTACTGCTGCTGCTTCCTTCAGCAGCGCGTTAAATCAAGGAACACCAAACAAACAAACCTGAACACAGCCTCCGACCTGGTGCTGCCGCTGCTGCTGCTGCTGCTGCTGCTGCTGGACTGGCTCCCACACACCCCACACCTGGGCTTGCTGCACTGCAGGGGCTGCGCTGGCCCATAGACCCACGCAGCGGTGAAACTTGGAAATAAAAGAATAAAAAGGAATTAATATAATTAATGTAATGTTTTTAAATTAAAATTAATTCAAACAATTTGAAAAAAGAGCAGCAGCAGCCAGTTGGGCTTCCACCCACGCCAGGCGCCGGAGGGGAGGAGAGGGGACCTCGCGGGCGTTTCTGCTGCTACAAAGGCTCTTTTATTTCCTTTTTATTTATTTATTTATTTATTTTTATTTAATTTGTTTATTTAAATCCAAAATAACTCACTTTAGAGGCCGGAAAACACTGAATCTGGCCCCGGCTCGAGTCGAGATGGCTAGGCGCCGTGTGCCGGCGGGCGATTCAACGCAGCTGCGGCTGCTGCTGCTGCTGCTGCTGCTGCAGCGAAAAGGCAGCAAAGACAACTCCAAAGAAGAATTTAAAAATATATTTTGCATTTAGTTCCCCAAATTGGGCGAAATTTTTGCACAAAGAGCGCGGCGAGCAGCAGCAGGGGCCCCAGGCTGCCAGCGCAGCAGCCCCAAAGCCGCAGGCGCTGGAATCACTGCAGCACAGAGGGAAAAGTTGTTGAATTATAAATTAATTTAAATTAAATTATATTTATTATTATTCTGCTGCAAAGTTGGGGGCCCAGAGCAGCAGACAGCTGCAGGAGCACGAACAGCAGCAGCTCGAGAAGGAAGCAGCAAGACGCAACTGTCCAGACACCCGAACGCAGCAGCTCGAGTTCTTTCCAATTTGAAATATTTCATTTTTTCCTTTTCTTCTTTTTATTTCCTTTTTAGTCTCTCATTCTCCTTCCCGCTGCAGCTGCTGCTGTGTCTTGCTCCGTCCCCCTCTCCGCGGGTCTCAGCTGCTTCTCTTCACCTTTGCTGCTGCTGCAGCACCCTTCAGCAGCAGCGCTGCAGCACCAGCTGCGCAGCAGCGCAGCAGCGCAGCAGCAGCCCTGCAGCAGCGCAACACCAGTCCCGCAGCAGCGCAGCAGCTGCATCCCTGCAGCAGCAGCCCTGCAGCAGCCCCCCAGCACCCCTGCATCAGCACCGCAGCAGCAGCACCCCAGCAGCAGCAGCGGCAGCAGCGGCGAGAGCAGCAGCAGCATCAGCAGCAGTAACAGCAGCAGCAGAATCGGCAGCAACAAAAGCAGCAGCAGCAGCAACAACAGCAACAGCAGCAGCAGCAACAGCGACAGCAGCAGCAGCAGCAACGGCAGCAGCAGCAGCAGCAGGATGTCGCAGGCGTGTGGGGCGTTTGTGTCTGCTGCTGCTTACGGGAAAATGCTGCTGCATGCAGTGCGGCATCACCAGCAGGCAGTTTGTGGTTTGCTGCTGGGCCCTGGGGAGTTATTAGAAAAGCGGAATTCGAAGTTGAATTTAAATTCAAATAATAATTCAAATAATAATTCAAATAATAATTCAAATGGTAATTTGAATAATAATTCAAATTCAAGTAGTAATTCTAATTTTAATTCCAGTTCAAAAAAGAGACCCTCAGCAGCAGCAGCAGCAGCAGCAGCAGCAGCAAATGCTGTTCTTGTTGCGGACGCCGTCCCGCTGCTGCACACCCACATGCTGCACCCCCAGCTGCGCCTCGGAGTCGAACTCGTAAGTGCTGCTGCTGCAGTGCTGCTGCTGCTGCAGTGCTGCAGCTGCTGCAGTGCTGCTGCTGCTGCAGTGCTGCAGCTGCTGCAGTGTTGCTGCTGCTGCAGTGCTGCAGCTGCTGCAGTGCTGCAGCTGCTGCAGCTGCTGCAGTGCTGCTGCTGCTGCAGTGCTGCTGCTGCAGTGCTGCTGCTGCTGCAGTGCTGCTGCTGCAGTGCTGCTGCTCTGCTACTGCTGGAATGCTGCTGCTGCAGTGCTGCTGCTGCAGCAGTGCTGCTGCTGCTGCAGTGCTGCTGCTGCAGTGTTGCTGCTGGAATGCTTCTGCTGCAGTGCTGCGGCTGCAATGCTGCTGCAATGCTGCTGCAATGCTGCCGGTGCTTCAATGCTGCTACTGCTGCTACAGTGCTGCTGCTGCTGCAATGATGCTGTTGCAATGCTGCTGCTGCTGCTGCTGCAATACTGCCGCTTCAGTGCTGCTACTGCTTCAGTGTTGCTGCTGTAATGCTTCTGCTGCTGCTGCAATGCTGCTGCTTCATTGCTGCTGCCGTGCTGCTGCTTCATTGCTACTGCAGCAATGTTGCTGCTGCTGCTGCTGCTGCTGCTCGGACTAAAGGTCCTCAATTGGCACTTTTTGGACTTTATTTTTTTCAAATTTGCTGCTGCGCAGGTTGAAGCCCTCTGCGACGAGGAGGCCGCAGCAGCAGCAGCAGGAGCAGCAGCAGGAGCAGCAGCAGCAGCAAAAGAGGGTTCTTTGCTTTCATTTTTGAATTTAAAGGAATCTTACAAACCCCAAATCGTTGGATTTTATTATTCGGATTTCTTAACTTCCGAAAAATCTGCTGCTGCTGCTGCTGCTGCTGCTCCCAACAAACAAGCTGCCCATATTGCCCGCGTGCTGCGGCAGCACTATCCCCAGCTGCTGCTGTGCATCGTCAGCCAAACCCTAAACCCTAAACCCTAAACCCTAGTAAACCCTAGTAAACCCTAACAAACCCTAAACCCTAGGCACTGGCTGCTGGCCGCGCGGGTCGCCCTTTCTGCTGCAGTGGCTGGGGTCTTGAATTGAGGGTTTAGGGTTTAGGGTTTAGAGTTTTGAATTTAGGGTTTAGGGTTTAGGGTTTGGGGTGTATGTGCACCTGCAGCTCGACTTCCGGAAGCTGCCGACGAATGAGCCGGTGACAACAGTAAGTTTAAAATTAAAAAGATTTAATTAAAACATTTAATTCAAAATCCATTCAACCTGCTGCTGCTGCTGCTGCTGCAGTTCTGGACCTGCTGCGGCTCCTCGTGGGCCAGCTTGCCCCCAGAAGCTGTGCGCTGTTCAAAAGCTGCTTTGCTGCTGGCAGAAAGAGCAATTGCAGATAACATGTGAGTCAAAATAAAATAAAAAACAAAAAAGAAATTAAATACTTTAAAATAATTAAACATAACTTAAAATAATTAAAGAATTCAATATATATATGTATATGCATGCGCATGCATTGTAGTTGGGGTGTATGTACACCGCATGCGCGCTCGTTGAAAGTTTTGGAGTTTTTTGAGTTTTGGTAAAATGCATTTGCATGCACTCAAATAAATAAATAAATAGGTAAATAAATGTGTTTATTTATATATTTTATTTATATTTCATTATTTCTTTATTTATTTATATTTATTTTCTCGTAAATGATATGTGGCTATACCTGCAGTGTGAATGGAGTGTACGTACAGCTGGGGAAACCCAAGCCCTTTGCTGCATGCAAAAGAAATTCATTTTAATTCATTTTAATTTACTTTCACATTTGCAGAAGATTTAAATGCAAGATGCATTTGTTTATGGTAGAATATAAATAAATATCTGAGTGATACATATATATATATATGTATGCATGTATAGGTGTTGTTCATGTACATCTACATATATACATATACATATTTATATATATATGTATATATATATATTTTGTCGATTTAAAATGAAAAAAAGATAAAAACGAATAATTGAATTCTTGTTTTTTCTATTTTCAGGTATTTGAACTTTCACGATCTCGATGATCATCTTTGTGACGTTTCTTTGTCGCCTTTAAACCCTTTTCTTTTTGCGGGGCACAAGGACCTCGTAAGTGCAGCTTGTTGTCGATTTAACCATTTAATTAATTAATTCATTTCATTTGTTTAATTAATTATCAATTTATTCATTTATTTATTTGGTTTTTCGTTTATTCGAGCTTCCAAAGTCCTCGTCTAGTGCTTACAGACTGCCGTGCGTGGGGTGTACGTACACCCGAGAATCCGTTTTGTTTCTCGGACAGCTCACGAGGGTCGCTTGGCAGATTTATTCTTTATTATTTTATTTATTTATTTATTTATTTATTTATTTGTTTGCTTTAATTAAATTATATGGTTTATTCAAAATGTTTTTTAATAATTTAATTGTTTGCGAATTCCTGCAGATCGCAGAAGACGCAGAAAGTGTGCGCGAGAGTTTGGGGTTGGAGGCGCGCGCCTAATCGGCGGAAATGAAAATAAATAAATAAATGAAAATAAGTAATCAAATAAAATGTTATTTTAATATTTGAAATAAATATTAAAACAAAATAAATAAATTAAATGATAAATGTTTTACAGATTGAAGACTCAGGAAGATCCGAGTTCTTTTCCTTTGCGCTGGCCCTTTTGTTTTAGAAATAAAAAGAAATAAATAAAAACGAAATTAATCCATGATGAGAAAAACAAATCGAATTCGTTGAAGTCGCTAAACCCTAAACCCTAAACCCTAAACCCTCACCCAGCCGCGACTCGGTACAGGCGAGACGGCTTGGGGCGCCTCCAGGCGCTCTTTTAGGGTTTGTAGCTGAGGGTTTGGCTTCTCAAGCTCGAGGGTTTAGGGTTTAGGGTTTGGGGTTTAGGGTTTGCGGGTCTGTGGGTGGATTTATTTGTTCGTGAGTTTCGGAGCCCAGGCGTACGTACACCCCGCGGGCTAGGGCTGCGGGCCCAAAGGCCTCCCCACAAAAAGACAAACTGGAGAAAATAAATTAAGAGTGATTTCATTTAAATCCTGAGAGTTCTGCAGCCAGCGCAGCGCACAGCGTGGGGTTTACGTACACCTCAGCCCTCTCCCCGAGCTGCTCAGGTGTACGTACACCCCAGTTCCTCAGGTGTACGTACACCCCGCACTGCTCCAAACAACAAATGGCTTTCGCCGTTTAATTCTTTTATTTATCTTTTGTTTATCTTTTGTTTATGTTTTATTTTTGTTTACATTTCTTTTATTTTTTTTAGACTGTTCAGCAACTCCTCAGCGCGAGGTGTACAGACAGCTGAGTAGGGCTCGTGAGGAAACTTTTTATTTAAATTTTTAATTTTTTTTAATATTTCCTCTCGCCTGTCGCTTCCTTATTTGCACCAGTTTTTTATAAATTAATTATTAAATTTATTATTTATTTATTTATTTTAATTTTATTATTTCTTTCCACTTGAGTTATTTTTCCTGTTCGTTCTACTGCAGCTGCCCTCCCCATTTCTTCACTCCATTTATTGAACTAACTTGACCAATCCAATAAATTAATTTAATATAATTCATTTAATTTAATTTAATTGCACTAATTTAATTTAATTTAATTAAACTAATTATTTACTTAATTTTTTTAATTCAACACTTTACCTCTTTTGCAAAAATTATCTTTTCTGAATTCCCCGGCGGCGTCTCAGCGAAGTGGCTGAGGGCGTTGAGGGCCTCGACGAGAAAGTCTGCGAAAATGGCAAATAAAAGAAATAAAATAAATAAATTTATTCGTAACTAAATTAAATCAAACTAATTAAAATAAATTAAATAGTTCAAAGTAATCAAAGCAAACGCGGCGGCGACCTCAGGAGCTGCTCGGCTCTGCCAGCAGCAGCAGAAAAACGGATAAAACAGCAGCAGCAGCAGCAGCAGGAAAAGAGGAAGCAAAAGCAATGCAGCAGAAAGGAGAACTGCGGAACGTTTCAACAAATAAAAATCTCCAAAAAGACCATTAAAAAAGCCGACTCCGCCGTTTTGAGGTGTACGTACACCCCACAAGTTGCGGTGTACGTACACCCGGGCGCATGCATGCATGCAGGCCTACGGAGCTGCGAGCCGGGCTGAGTTTGGGCCAGCACTTGGGGGCTGTAGAAAGAAACAGAAGCAGCAGCAGCAAGTGCTGCTGCTGCTTCTTCTTCATCCATTCCTTCTAAGCTGCTGCCGCTGACTAGAGTGCCCCCCGGGCCGAGGCAGAGCAGCAGCAGCGACATTATGCTTCTGCATGCTTCGCTGCTTCTGCTGCTGCTACCCTGCTGCTGCTGCTGCTGCTGCAGCTGCTGCTGCAGCGCTGCTGCTGCAGCAGGCACCACTAGCAAGTGGCTTAGGCCCACGCCCCCAGAGGCCTTTAAAGCTGCTGCTTTTAAACTTTTGGCATTTGCTGGCAGCAAAAAGACTGAGGACATTTAAAGAACAAAAAGAATAAATTAAAGAGATTAAAAGACAAGTAGCAGCAACAGCAGCAGCAGCAGCAGCAGCAGCCAGAATGGCAAAAGGAGACGAAAGAGGCAGAAAAATAGAATCTAAGATGAGACGCAAATGCAGCATATGCAGTCCAGAGAAACAGCAGCAGCAGCAACTGCTGCTAAAGAAGACAAACAGCAGCAGCAGCAGCAGCAGCAGCAACTGTCGCTAAAGGGGGCAGCAGCAGCAGCAGAAAGGAGACAAACTTGAAAAGCAGAAGCACAGAAGTGAACAAGTAAATAAACAACTCAATTAGTTTAATAAATAGACAATTTCTTGCAAAATAAAAATATAAATAAATGAATAAATAAATATTCAATAAAAGAGAAATTAATGAAAATAGATTAAATGAATAGATGAAATAAATCGAATAATTAAATAAGTGAACTAAGTTAAACCAATTAAACCAATTAAATAAATTAATTAAATTAAATGAATTAGTCATATTAAATTAATTAATTAATTAATTAAGAATAAATTAAAATAAAAATAAAAGTTTTCTACTTTTGTCTTTCAAAAGCTGCAAAGGCGGCTTCGACAGCATCGCAGCAAAAGCGGAAAAGTCCTAAAAACAAAAAAAATAAAAATAAAAATAAAAAATAAAAAATAAAAAGTAAAGGTTATAAATTATAAAGTATTGGTTTTAAATTATACATTGTGAATTATAAACTGTAAATTATGAAATTATCAATTAGAAGTTTAGAATTAAAAGTAATTAAAAAAAAATAAACGAAAAGAGAAAAGTAGAAAGAAAGCAAAACAGAAGAACAAAAAAACAAAAGAGATAAAGAAAAAAAGGAATGAAAAACAGAAACCAAAAAGAGGAGTAAAGAAATTAAAAAGATGAAAAAAAGAAGTGAGATATAAGAAAAAAGAAATGAAAAGAAGAAAAAAGAAATAAAAACAAGAAAAAAGAAACAAAAAGAGGAAACAAGAAATAAAGATAAGAAAAAAGAAGTAGAAATAAGAAACAAGAAATAAAAGGAAGCAAAAAAATAAAAGAATCAGGAAAGAAAAAGGAAATAAAAAAGAAACAAAGAGGAGAAAAAATAGCTTATCAACGTTTTTCCTTTTTAATCAAATCTTGAAATGTTTAAAATCTTTTTTTCTTTTTTATTTGATTTTTAATTATCTCCTTAATCTCTTTAACCTCTTTAAATCATTCTTTGTTTCTTTATTTCAACTTCTTTTTAGTTTGATTTAGGTCAATTTAATTTAATTTTAGCTTAATTTAATTTAATTCAATTTTTAATTTTAATTTAATTTAATTTTAAATTTTGTTTTTAATGCTTTACAGCAAAGAGAGCGAAAACGAAAATTTGGGCCTTCACCGGCAACAGCCAAAAAAGAAGTTCTGCAACATCTTCCTGAAAAAAAAATGAATAACTAAATAAATAAATAAATAAATAAATAAATAAATAAATGAATAAATGAAAAATGAAGAAACAAAACAGCAAAAGAATTAAATGAAAAGGAAATACAACCAAGAAGTATAAATAAAAAATCAAAAAGCTAATAAGGCCAAAAGGCAAATAAATGAGGGAGAATTATATTGAGTATAAAGGATTAACAATTAAACAATTTAAAATAAACTTTAAATAAAAGGCAAATTAAAACCAAATAAAGTAAAATGAAGTTAAATAAATAAAATAAAAATAAATAAATAAATAAATAAATAAAAAGACCCACAACTCTGCTGCAGCAAAGCCCCACGAAGTCGCCTTCACGCGGCCGCAGCTTCAGAGTGCAGCCTGCAGCTCGAAAGTGCTCGAAAAGCGAACAAATTGCATTCAATTATAAAATATAATAAAAAATAAATAAATATAATTCAAAAATAATTTAAAATGATTCAAAAGAATTCAAAAACGAACAAAAATGGACGAGAAGGCGCCGAGTGTATACTCCAGCGAGGTGTACATACACCCCAGCGAACAGCGGAATGCGCAAATCGAAATTTCAATTGCGGCGCTGAATTGTGACCACTTTTGAATTTAAAAAGACTTTAAACAATAAATAATGAATAATAATTAATTATAAATCATAATTAAATATATTTATCGGGAAAAAACGGCAAATTTGCAAAAAAATTACATTCCAGCCCCTCCACTAAGTGCGGCAGCCGGGACAAAGAGCAAGCCAAGGCCTCCAGCTCCTCTTGCTGCAGCAGCTGTTGCTGCTGCTGCTGCTGCTGTAGTGCATGCAGACGCTCATCTTGCTGCGGCTCGGGCAGCCTATTTTCCTGCTGCTGCTGCTCCTGCTGCTGCTGCTGCTCCTGCTGCTGTCGCTGCTCCTTAGATAAGCCGCCGCAGAGCAACAGCTTATCAACAATGTCAGGAGGCAGAGGCACTGCAGCAGCAGCAACAAGCAGCAGCAGCAGCAGAAGCAGCAGCTGCAGCAGCAAGCGTAGCGACAGAAGCCACTGGTACTCAAACTGGCTGCAGCAACTGCAGCAGCTTCTGACTGTATTTGCTGCTGCTTGCATGTCTGCAGCTAGCTGCAATATGGCGGGTGCAGCACGACCAGCAGCAGCAGCAACAGCAGCAGCAGCAGCAGCAACAGCAACTCCCCTTTGACTACAAAACACACACGGAGAAAAACACGCTCATACCCTACACAAAACCGGGCCTACCGATGCAACCTCTGCTGTTGCTGCTGCTGCTGCTGCTGCTGCAGTCTCACCGCATGCAGAGAAGACACAAAATAGGAGCTGCCCCTGGAACTGCTGCTGCGGCCCCACACCTGCTGCTGCCAGCAGCAGCTGGCCGCTGCTGACGCCCCTCACGGCGCTGCCTGCTGCAACCAGTTGACCTGTTGTTTCAGCAGCAGCAGCAGCAGCAGCAGCAGCAGCAGCAAGTGCAGCAGCAGCAGTATATTTTGTCTTAATATTTATTCCTCTGTATGTATTTATTTTTAAATATATAAATATACATAAACACATATGCATGAACATGTAAGGTAAAGATATAAAGGCTGCATTTAGATTTGCTGCTGCGTTTGCTGCTAAGGCGGTGCTGCTGCAGCGTATTCCTGCTGCAACAGATACATTGCTGCTGCAGCAGCCTTTAAGGGACCTGCTGCAGCGCAGCAGCTTACCCAAAAATAGCCGTGGAGGCGGCAGGTTTGCTGCTGGAGGGGGGCTCTCGGTGCATGCTGCTGCTGCTGTTGCTGCTGTTGCTGCTGTTGCTGCTGCTGCTGCTGTTGCTGCTGCTGCTGCTGTTGCTGCTGCTGCTGCGCCCGCTGCTTCTCTAGCGGAGGGAAGGAAGTCGGACAGAGGCAGCCAGCTGCTGCAGATGTTGCTGCTGCTTGGGCAGTTGTTGTTGCTGCTGCTGTTCTCACTGCTGCTGCTGCTCTCACCGTTGCTGTTGCTGCTGCTGCTGCTGCTGCGCGCGCCTAGCTTGTACTCAGCTGCTATTACTAGCTTCAGTCTGATAACCACCTCGGAAGCCCGGGGGGCCCGAGGAAGGCTTTCCATCATCAATGCAGCAGCAGCAGCAGCAACAGCAGCAGCAGCAGCAGCAGAAACGGGGCCTCCCTGAGCTGGGGGGCCCCCGCTGCAGCACGAGGAGGCCCCTAGCGGCCGGGCGGAGTCTGTGTCTTTTTAAAAAGGAATTAAATGCATTAGTTGGTATTTTAATTAAAAATAAACAGAAGAAACTGCTAAAAAGCCGGTCTAAAGCGCTGCTGCTGCTGCTGCTGCTGCTGGGTCCACTAGGCGGACCGCGCGGTTTCGCTGCTGGCAGCGGGGGGCTTAAAGCGAAGCAGTTTTGAATAAAATTCGATTTAATAATTCAAATTTAAATTAATTTGTTTAATTAATTTATTTAATTTCAATTTATTTGACTTTAAAACGAAGTTCCGAGGCAGCAGCCCGCTGCTCAAGTCCGCGCTGCGCTGGGGCCCCCCCCGGGTGTGCCGACAGCTGCTGCGTTTCGGCTAAAATGGTTTTATTGGTTCATTTATTTATCAAATTTATTTATTTATTTATTTATTTTAATCTAGTTTTATTTAATTTAAATCATTTTAGCAATTAATTTGCCCCAAAGAGCCTTTGGGAGGCTTTGCTGAGCCGCCGCGGTGTCGGCGCAGCCTCGGTCTACTGGAGTTTTTAGAAAGAATTTTCATCATTTGTTTATTTATTTACAAATATTCCTTTTTATTTATTTAAATTTAAAAATAGAATTCAAATTGAAGGCAAAATGAGTCATTTTATCCCAAAGAATATCAGGAGGACAGCAGCTGCAGGCCAACTGCAGCAGACGCAGCAGCAGCACAAGCAGCAGCAGAAGCAGCGGCAGCAGCCACGTGAGCTGCTGCAGCAACTCACGAGGCTGCTGCTGCTGCTACTTGCTGCTGCAACAGCAAATACCCAACCAGACAGCAAACAGTACTGCTTCTGCTCCTGCTGCTAGCGCTCTCCTTACAGCCGCCTCGCGAGTCCCTGCAGCAGCTCACGAAGTTGCTGCTGCTGCTGCTGCTGCAGCAGCAAAGAAGAAACTAAACCGTCGCCAAAGTTGCTTCTGCTTCTGCTGGGGCTCAGCAGAACAGCAGAAGCAGCGGCTGTGGGGCCCCACACAGATTCGGTTTGCTGCAGCAGCTGCAGCAGATTTGGTCCGCTCCAGCTGCTGCTAGCGTAAAGCAAACTACATGTGCTGCCTCTAGGTCGTTTGCTGCTGTTGCTGCTGCTGCTGCTGTGGCAGCGAACATTTCACCTGCACGAAACCTAAACCTGAATCCCCAGGCCGTAAACCCTAAACCCTAAACCCCAAACCCTAAACCCTAGCTAACAAAACGGCTTTTGCTGCTTCATAACAAATGGACAAAGTTTTACAACTCTAATCCCTATTGAAACGATGAAAGCAAATAGACAAGATGAGGGGATAAACGCGCCCGCGCAGCTGCAGCAGCAGCAGCTGCTGCTGCTGCTGCAGCTGCTCTTGCTGCTGCAGCAGCTACTCTTGCTGCTGCAGCAGCTGCTCTTGCTGCTGCAGCAGCTGCGCTTGCTGCTGCGGCAGCAGCTGCTGCTTCTGGCGCAGTTGCATCTTTTGGTGCTGCTTCTGCTGCTGCTGTAGCTGCTCCTGCTGCTGCAGCAGCGGCTCAGGACGGCAAACAGATGTGCGGCTGATAAGAGGGAGAAAACAGCAGCAGCAAAAACTAAACTTGCTCTTGCTGCTGCGCACTCAGCAGCAAACAAGGGGCCCCACATGGCGAAGCAGCAGCAGCCAGACCCTGGCCCCCAGAAAGCACCCCAGGGCTCATAAGTTCCCCCTGAAGCAGCAACAGCAGCAGCAGCAGAGCAGCAGCAGCGCAGCAGCAGATGGGCAAAATGCAGTGTCTGCAACGTCAAGCTTTGCTGCGCCTGTGTGCTGCATCTGCAACAGAACGCAACTGCGAGTGTGTAATAAACGGCTGCTGCTGCTGCTGCTGCTGCTGTTGCTGCTGCTGCTGCTGTTGCTGATTCCCCTGCAGCAGTTCCGCCAGCAGCAGCTGCTCCGTTTGCCGCTACTTTAATTCAACTTTTAATCAGCAGCAAAAGGAAGAAAATTTCTTACCGCTTTGAGGAGGGTTTGCTGCAGCCGAGGCAGCAGCAGCGGCTGCTGCTGCAGCACCGCAGTGCGTAGCTGCAGCAGCAAACGCAGCAAAGGCTGCAGCACAAGCGCGTGTTTGCAGTGCTCAGAAGCAGCAGAGAAATGCAGCAGTAGCAACCATAATAGCAGCAGCAGCATCGGCAATAGGAGCAGCAACCGCAGCAGCAGCAGCAGCAGCAGTAGCAGGAACAACAGCAGCAGCAAATACCTGGGCCAGTGCTGCTGCTTGCATCTGCAGCTCTCGTGTCGCCTCTCGCTGCTCTCTCAGCGCGGCCTCCTGCCTAATGCCATCTGCTGTTGCCGCTGCTGCTGCTGCTGCTGCTGTTGCTGCTACGTGCTTCTCCAGCAGCAGCACTGCTGCCTCCAGGCGGCCCTGCAGCAGCAGCTGCGGCAGACGGGCCAGCCCACCTTCTTCGTCGAGTTTGTCTTGTAGAAATGCCAGCTGAAGCAGCAGCAGCGGCAGCAGTAGCAGCAGCAGCAGCACAGCAGCAAACCCGCACACACACTGGAACACTTAGCTTAGCCGGGCGCCTCAACAACAAGCGAAGCCACAACAGCAGCAGCAGCAGCAGCAGCAGTTGAAAGTGCAGCAGCAGCCGCAGCAGCAGCAAAAAGGGGTCCCAGTGGGGCTATGCACAACTCCAGGCTCTCTGTTTCAAAGTAATATGCATATGCCTGCAGCAAAAGTGTAGGTTTGCTGCAGGCTGCTGCTGCTGCTGCTGCTGTTGCTGCTGCTGCTGCTGGGCTGTGCCACGTACGACTTGGGCAGGTATTCGCTGAGGCCCCAAAAGAACAGCAAGAGACTGTAGCTGCTGCTGCAGCGCTGCGAAAAGTCGCTGGGCCTTTGCACGCTCTGCTGCTGCTGCTGCTGCTGCTGGTGCTGCTGCAGCAGCAGCAGCTCCTTTGAGTCCCACAAGGGCAAAAGGCTGCAGCGACGCATCTTTTGCTGCCAAGAGCTTCCAGTGTCTCTCGAGGTGTAGCAGCAACTCATCCCATCGGCTGCGCTCTTGTCTACCCTGCTGCTGCTGCTGCTGCTGCTTCTGCTGCTGCTGCTGTGCCGCCTCTCCCTGAAAGCACCGCAGCACAGCAGCAGCCCAAAAGTAGGAAACAGCTTCCAGTAATGCTGGTATGGTGCTGTTGCCGCTCCCGCTGCTGCTGCTGCTGCTCCTGCTGTTGCTGCTGCTGCTGCAGGTGCTGCTGCTGCTGCTGCTGCTGCCTACTTTTGCTGTGGATCTCAGAGCGCAGTAAATAAAAGCGTGGAAGGCCCCCAAAGGGTTCAGTGAGCAGCAGCAGCAAAGACGAACAGCTGCTGAGAGCTCTCCAAGGAATGCCTGCAGCAGCAGCAACCCGTAGCAGCAGCAGCAACCGCAGCAGCAGCCACAGCAGCAACATATGGAAAGACCTCAAAGAAGCACAGGAGAAGGGGGGCAAGCTAGAGCTGCAGCAGCAAATCAAAGCAGCAAGCTGAATCAAAGAACGGCAGCAATGAAAGTTTGCAGGCTGCTGCTGCTGCATTTCAGGCTGCTGCTGCTGCTGCTGCTGCCGCTGCCGCTGTTGCTTACAAGGCGAGCTGCTGTCTCTGCTGCAGGCAGCAGCGGCGAATAAGCTGCTTCGTCAACTGAGGCTAGAAGGCATTGAGCCCTGCGGCAGCAAAAGCAGCAGCAGCAGCACCTGCTGCTGTTGTACCCAGGGGTTCTTCGCGTGGAGAGGCGCACTTGCAAAAAGCAGCAGCAGCAGCAGCAGCACAAAAGCAGAGGCAGCAGCACGACCAAAACAAGCCTTAACAGTACCCGAAGCAGCAAGAACGCAAGCAACACAACACAGCAGCAGCAGCAGCAGCAGCAGCAGCGTGGCCCACTGCGCAAGAGCTGATATCTGCAGCGCCTCTGAGGCGGAGACTGTGCGGCTTTGCTGCTGCTGCTGCTCCTCCACCAGCGGCAGCTGCAGCTCCTCTTCCTCGCTGCATGCAGTGACGTCAGAAGCCTGTATGCAGCAGCAGCAGCAGCAGCAGCAGATATGGCTAGCTGCCGCAGCAGCAGCAAAGGCGGCAACTACGCAACAGCTGCCACAGTGCAGCTTGCAGCTGCCTGCTGCCCTACATCAGACGTCGGAGCTTGCTGCTCTTCACTGAGATCCGTCTGCTGCTGCTGCTGCTGCAGCTGCTGCTGCAGCAGCAGCTCCTGCTGTTGTTGCTGGAGATGCTTTAGCTGGTGCGCCGCAAGAAAGGCTTGCGGCAGCAGAGCTGTCTGCCCCTTTGAAGCCGCCACCCCATCCTGCTGCTGCTCTTCTTGCTGCTGCTGCTGCTGCTGCTGCTGTTGCAGCGCAGGCTCTGGCGCAGGAGACAGCGGCCGCGGAGCAGCAGCACGCAGCAGCAGCACTTGCGGCAGCCGCAAATCGCCGCCGCCTGTGAGCGGCAGCAGCAGCAGCGGCAGCACTGGGGGAACAGTTAGAGTGCTTCCGGGGATTTGCTGCAGCAGCTTTCCACATTGTTCCATTAGTGCTGCAACACGGGAAAGAGCGACAAAGGGCTGCTGCTGCTGCTGCTTCTGCTGCTGTTGCTGCTCCTCGTGCTGCTGTTGCTGCTGCGGCTGCTCTTCCTGCTGCTGTTGTTGTTGC